TATGAGACATCCCAAATTAGGTAGTGGAAATACGCTCATGATAAATGTTATGACTTCCGAATTATTACGTTAGAGTATAACAAAACTTCCCTACCGTTGCGAGGCGAAATACAATAATCAGTATTATATGAATGAACTGGACACTCCCGAGAACAAAAACCCATTATATAACCAGTGAATATCTACTGTGGTGTGCAGTGGTTTATGGGTTCGATACAACATACTCTCGCAACAACTATCCCCTAATCATCGCAATGATTCAATGGGTTTGTGTATCTGAAATCAACTAATCCAGCCGCAAATAAGTTTAGCGTTTCCCAATGAGAGAGAAAGCTAGACGGATGTCTGGTAAACGTATGTAAGGAGTCCTGGGTATTTCTGAAGCGACGAATGCATATCGGTGATATTTCGCTTGACAGGAGTCATTCGATTTAAATATGGGGCAAAGGTCAAGGGTTCATTATTAATCAAGTGATACAGGAGGACATATAACAATAATAAAATAACTGATAGAAGTACGTTCGGGCTAGTGATTCTTGCAGACGATAGACAGGACTCCGGTTGAACTGAGCGGTTTCCATTTCTACATCATGTAATTATACCGCTGTTTTGAGTTTCCATGGTTTCATGTTATACAGACCAGCATTCCTTAGGACCACAGATCTTGTTTTCATTTCTCGCAATGTATCTGACGTCTTCAATCGAATTAAGCTCAACGCATGTTGCGATCATCTGTTGTATAGTGGTGACCAAATCTAGCCCACTCTAAGGTATCATTTTATCGTCTTCTTTCCTCTATGATCAAACCACCTTGCATTTTGATTGCGTGATGCAGGTAGTCTATTGTGGTTAATTTAAGAGACTAATCATCAGTAAATCAAATGAGTGTGCGATACTAATTCGTACGTTCAACTGAGTTCCTAATCATAAAATACACGTATCAGCGGTTTGCTACGGCCACACGGAGATAAATGTAGCTCGTGAGATGTCGTTCTCCCCAGATTTGAAAATAAGCCAAATTAATCGAACGAGAAATGCATTTATTGACTCACAGAAATATCGACCGATTCGTCCTTTTTTGTAACAATTGTCTGTGGATGGTTGCCAGCATCTGAAATGCTGATATTTCTCACCCACGGAGTGCGATACAATACCAATTTGACCGACTGACATTCGAGCTGAGACTGTTCAGTTTGCACAATGTTTACTATAAAGTGAACTACGTCACTGCATTGATAAAACAGGAAGAGAAAACAAGCATAGCGTACATGAGTTTAAGTGAATGCAGAGTAACTGAACTGAAATCTGTATGCTCATGAGCAGTGAAAGTTGAACGAGTTTTCCGTAAAACCAGTGGATGCAGAAAAGGTAATACAAAGCTCAAATAAGTAGAAAAATTCGGCGGCACAATGGGAAATTAGTATTGAGTATTTTGCAGTGCACGGGAGTACAGTGAGATACGGATGGATACTTTTACTGTTTGTGGTGTTTCACGTACTAAGGAGTTCATAATGCTAACGGACATGGGCCTTATACACACATAAAATCAATCAGGACATTTCTGTCCGCAGAGCTATCGCGGAAAATACACTTGTTAAGGGTGGAAATTAGAATCGGATTTTTTCCTGTAAATCGGGAAACAGTTGACTCAATAGGGAAGAATATATTGGACCACAAATTGGAAAGTCGAATTGAAGCAAACTTTCCGTTTCACAGGCGTGAAAGTAAATTACGATCTCTTTCATAAATAACATTTACGTGGCTGTTTCCGCACAGATTGTTTCACAGAATTGCACAAATGTATTTTCCAGATTCAACTTCGGCATTATTGTGACCGTTTTTAGGTGTTCAGTCAATTTGTGAGAATGTTCGGGAAACAAAAGTCAGCTTGCAAGAAAAAGGTTAACATGTGCAGACTTTGAAACTGCAGGCTTAAAACATTGGTGTAGGAAGCGATTAAAGACCTTGTTTGGACAGTCGGCGATACACATCCTTACTTGCGAGGTACCCATTCAACAGCATACTTGCATGCAATGATACGCGATGGAATCGGCAGGATCTTTTTGAACAAAAATAACAATAATATCTTAAAATACTTCAACGTTGACGTTATGATAATGTGAGGTGACCTGAGTTCGGTAAGCCAACAAGTTTGGAAGCAGAGTTGGGACACGTTATTTCAAGTTCCACTTAGAAAGNNTGATTGTAACAATCACTACAGGTAAAAAGAAACCAAAGGAACATTCACAGCACGTATATCAAAAGGAATGAATGAATATATGCAACGACATCATAAACAGGAAGCTAGGGATCATGAGCAAACTGAATTGGACCAAGAGTATTTAGTTCTTCGATCGATCAACACTATGAAAAACGTTTCATAGTGTGCAACTGGTGGTCGTTTCAGAAGCCACACACAAAAGTGAAACAACTCAGCCTTTAGTGCTGCGAGGTGTTCCGCGTAGATTTCCAATATCTTGGAGTGCAGTTAACCGAGTAGATTAGTTTTTTCGACTTTTTCTACCTGTGATCAGGACGCTAGCCGTGATATTTAACATTGATTAGTCCGTCGATTGTAGGGTGCTAAAACTTACGCAGTCAAAAGATGAGCTCATAACGCCTTGTTTTTTATGATAATCGTGTGAGATGTTTACAAATTCGGCGTGCAACCGAACACTTCTCGAAAGCCTGGAGGAATGACAATAATTGTCATCAATTAACGATGACATTCACCAGAAGGTTGAGCTCATGTCGAACAGGAATGTGGTTTCTTATATGGTTTATGCAGTTGAAAGCAGCACAGCTGTAATGCATTCCATGTTGTTGATGACTCCATCACCATCAATATCGAAAAGGAAGCAATAACCGATAACTTTGTATCTCCCCGAGGCCGGAAAACACTATCCTCAGTGAAATAATGTGAAAGGCCTACCTGAAGCACGGCAACAACTTAGAACCTGCACATTTTTTAGTATCATGCTCGTGAAATTGTCCGTTGGTGTAATAAAAAACATAGATGTTAAAATGAAAAAAAGCAATACATATAATTCTCCGTTCCTGAAACGCCGCATGGAAGTGACCATACAACAAGCAGTATTTGGTTATTTCCAGTCCTTTTACGTGATCAACTGTAGTTAACCAAAATTTCAAAAGTCCAAGCCATGCACAGTTGGGTCATTCGTATTAAGAAGCCTTAACATCAAGAGACCGCATTAAACATGACTTGTACTGATGGCTTACACTTTATACACCATTCCTATTGAGCGTTCAATACAGTGAGCATGACCAGCTTTTTCCATGTTATTCTAATAAAAGCCATTGACCCATGTCGCTGCGGTATAAAGAGATTTAACTTGCCCGGGATATGTGTCCATTGCCGAAGTGCGTATCTGTGTGCCGAGCGAAGCCTTGAGATTCGTGGTGTTTTCGATCGATAGCCTGAAGTCTTCTTCACAAGATACATCTCCAACCGTCTTCATTAGGATCAATATTTTCTGACCGTTTTCCGTGGCCATATCCACCATTCGTATGGAAATTTCGAATGCGATCACTTCTCCCAAGTTCTTTTTTCTGAGTTCTGTGAAAAGATGTAGAAAGAACTACAGTAGATAAGCAAAGGTCTTGGGAGGAAATTGATTCTTTGTATAGGTTTAGACAAAACTTATTCTCGTTCAAAATTGCAGGAAATAATACCTACCTTCAAGTTTCTTTGCATCCACAGAAAATGTCATCCTGTTCATTTGAGATCCATTGAAGTCAGCAGATAAGGTGGTTTCATTTGTCAAATCAGCCACATTTTCTCCAATCATCATGGAAATGAGACTGAGATGACAGTAGGAGATGTTTCTCGTCGAAGTTCCCTTACACCAAATTGAAAATGACATTTTTTCAGGACCACCAGCCTGAAGTATGTCAGCATTAACGATCACATGCTTTGGGCGGTTTATCAGAATGGTTTCTTCTGCATCTTTCGGTTTTAGTGCAATCAACTGACAAAGCTAAAAAACGCGGAAATTACATCAAACATTGATGAAAATATTCAACACAAATAAGATCCCGTGAACAAAATGCATGATTTACACAAATGCGAATCTTCATGACAGCCTGCAACTGTTCCGTCAGATTACCAATCTGCTAGTGACTGTCCAATTTATCAAGTCTGAAAGGTATTAAATGCCTCAATATATATACGCTGCTATCTTTACCATTCAAAGTGATGCGAGCATGCAAAACAAACTTTGTTAAACTGTTAGTAAATAAAGATCCAGCTGATAAGAGTTTTCGTAAAAATGTCTGTATACACATCAAACTTGATCACTATCATTGCAAAACTTGGAACTGAAATCACTCAATATAATCACATGCATTGATGTCACGAGTGACTCAGTAGAAATATCTGCCTACCTTATTGGCTGTCCGCTTTTGTCTTGCGAGAGGAAGTTCATTCATGATTGGGGCTTGCAGCAGTGCTACCCGGGACCGTTGGAGACTTCGGTGATCACTGGTTGTCACACATTCGACATGTGATACGGATTTGTCGAGCAAAGCTGTGCCGCTAACCGCTATTCCGATCTGCGATATGTTCAATCGAAAGAAAGAAAGACCACTGGCTGTATGTTCAGTTGATAAATTGTCATTTGAAAAGATTTTGTCAAGTTTCTTCTTCGGTGGAAGAAAATGTAATAACCGTTTAGACTGACTTCAAATTGCGGAGAATATTAGACACTCACCAGACTAAGTTTCTCCATATCGGTGTTTATGTCCACTTGGCTACTTCTGTACCGGCTCATTTGGATATTTTATTTATACGGTTGATTTTATAACTCGGTCTTTCACGCACAAATCATCGCCGGGGACACGTGGACGCTGGTTCGTTGTACATTTATCTTTTACCGTAGAATACTGTTCGCACGTAACGGAATACCATCACTCTCTAGAGAGATCAATATACAATCAGGTACTTGAACAGAGAACATAGCACTGCGGCGCTGCACAAGTTATTTAGGGAAAAAATCACCATATCTTTTCAAGTGCATACTATAGTCAAAAATAGTAATCCAAAGTTACAAGGTAAGTGATCCTTGGAAGACCATGAAGCAAAAATGTAGCGCGTGCAAATCAGTTTTTCTACACAGGCAACAGAAACCGACCTCCTTGATCAAGCTGCCGCATTCATTATCTAGCCAACCCCATTAACTCTACCAATTCGTGTATTAGTTCTCATCTGTGTTCCTAAGCAAAATCGAGAGGCCGATTAGATAGAACGTAATTAAACATACTTTTGTCTGGGTGAGTCAACTAGTGACTGAATCACGTCCAATGGAGCAAGCTTAGCTTTATTAATTCCTCGTCACATGTTGGATGATAGAGATCAAATGAACGTGACCGATACATTCAGAGATATTGTCGTTGTCTGATCCCCTCATTAGCTCCAGTTTGTATTGGTGACCCCGAAATGTGCAAGCAAACGGATCAATTGTCATTCTAGTCCGTAGCTTTGCATAGGTGATCAGCTGTAACACCAACAGCTCACTTACGGTAATTCTAACGTGTTAGTTTCCTTTATATTTTTCAAATGAACTACAGTGAAATAAAGTATGCAACATTGTGCTGTTCCGTTCTCCATTCAAGGTTTTGTCGAAAAACGAACGTTCTGATTTCAGTCACTAGATGGTGAACGGGG